CTGTCATACAATTTTTTTTCATCGATAGTCTGTAATTGGAACCATAACTCTTATTTATTCAAATTGTATTAATATGTAAAGACCAAGTGTAACATATATCATCGTTAAATCTTATCTTATAAAACCAGTGGAACTTCAAAATCGTTAAAATTCATGGCTCCCGCCGCATTGCACGGGTACACAACTAATATATATATATATATATATATATATATATATACTTGTTGCTATCTCAATCACTGAATTCAATTTCCAAACTCTGCCTTACGTAAAGTTGCCAGAGTACGATCTGAATCCACCACTCACTCTCTTTCGGGTAGACTATCATACACTGGGAAAGAGTCAAAGTCAAGACACTCCGGCCCCTGCAGCCCCCAAAGTGCTAGATCCATCGAAGTAGAGCTCGAGTTTTAGCCAAAGCAGCTCTGCAGGGTCCCAAATGAATTGGCTTATTAACTATGAAAGCCTAGAAATATACAGGCCCAGTTGGTCGTCTTTCATATCGAGCCATTGAAGCAGCGCATCGAGCTATAATTGGGCAATTCCATCGTACTATGAGCGGACAATTCCGAAGAAATGGTAAGATAAGATATCGTGATGTAAGTTTATTATTTATATATATAGGGCCTAATCAAATGAGAACTAATTAGTTTGTGGTAACTATGAGAACCTATATTAACCACAAATCAATAGATAAATTAGGAAATTTATAATTTTGGCAATTTTGAATTAAAATATTAATGCAAGGATATTTTTGGTATTTTAAAACTTTCCTCCCTCCTCTCTTCTCTCTCCTTCCACTGTCCGTCGGCCACCGTCCTCCGGTGATACTACAATGGTATCGCAATGCATCATATATGTGGTCGATCGAAGATGTAACACAGTGGTATCACTATGCATCTTATATATGATTAGGTATCACAATGTGTCTTTTGTTTAACAAAGTCAATATTTTTAGGTATCACAGTGGTATCATAGTGGTATCGCCGGAGGCCGGAGAACGGTGGCCGGAGAGAGAAGAGAGGAGAGAGGAGATTTTTAAAATACCAAAAATATCCTTGCATTAAGATTTTAATTTAAAATTACCAAATTTATAAATTTCCTAATTTATCTTTTGATTTGTGGTTAATATTAGTTCTCACAGTTACCACAAACAACTCAGTTCTCCCTTGAATAAGCCCCTATATATATATATGTATATATATATATATATATCATCAGTATAATGATTAGAATATTAATGACGGTAAATAACACTTATTGATTAGTATTTAAAAACATTTATTTATTAGTTTGTACTTTAAAATTTGTATTAATACATTTTAAATCCCAAAATACATATTCACAATTTTATAAATGTGCAATCATTATACATTTTAATTAACTAAATCACAATTTTATCATTAATAATTGAGAGATTAATAAATTATTTATCACATAATTAAGAATAGAATAGACATTACTTTTTGAAAGTTGACACTTACTTTAGAACAAATTAAAATAGAAATGGAGATACCTATTTTTGGACGGAATGAATATTTGTTTTTGTTATTTGTAGACATCATTTATCTTACAACAATGAATTATTCTCTATAGCAATTTATATGTATTAATGATCGGTTACTATCTTTTCATATTATTTATAGACTAAGTTTCTATTTACCACATTATTTATACATATAATTAGTTACCATACGATTTAGACATACACTTATTCATTTTTTAATAAAAATCACTAGAAGTAACATCCTCATTTTAACAAGAAAAAAAAACTTCATTATCAATCAGACAAAAAAAATGCATAAATTATATAACACCCTCATTGTTATTATTATTCATTTTATTTAATTTTATAATTTTATTTTTAAATAAATCTCTCTCTCTCTCTCTCTATATATAGAGGGGCGATCAAATGAAAACAACCATCATTTGTAAAAACCGTACAAACCACTTTCATATATCGATTTCATTGTTTAATCTTATGAAATTTTTTCATGAAATTGTTTAATCTTGTGAAATTGTTTCATATAATATTTTTTTTGATGAATTTGTTTCATATATGGTTATGAAATTGTTTCATATAATACTTTTTTTGATGAATTTGTTTCATATATGGTTATGAAATTGTTTCATATAATATTTAATGAAATTTTAATGAAACTGTTTCATGTATTTCTCTAAAATTAAAATAATGAAGATGGTAATATCCATGATAACACCATCCACAATAAAAATAGTTAATCAACCTCTCATAATTACGAAAAAATGAACAAAATGAAAAATTATGATTGGTTGAATGAGGTTTGCACGATTTGTACAAGTTGGATGGTTTTTATTTGAACGTTCCCATATATATATATATATATATATATGAGTGATCATATGAAAACCACCCTCATTTGTGTAAACCGTGCAAACCACC